CCATTTTTTGTGCTAGCTCCCCCACGAAAGGAATCTGTCACCCAAGGGGACACTGAGACTGCAACCACAGTCCCAGCCAGACACTGCTATGAGAAAATGCAATAAATATGGCCCTAACACCTCTCACCTTCCCACAATGTAATGAACAGGATAGATTCTTAAATATCAGCCTTCAGCACAAGCCTATTTCCCATAACTTCATTTGGGAAAAGTTATCAACCCAAAATTCTCAACCGATTTCTTAAAATGTAACTAATACAGTCTAAAACACTTATATATCCACATATATAGTATATGCATGTTAGGATGCTGCAAGCATTGCTTCCTGATCACCAAAAAATTACTATGTTCGTCACGAAGAGTTGCTTGATGTGCTGTGGCCCCTCTCTTAGCTCTAACAACAACCAAGGCATGCACTTCATGCCGACACTCCACGTGCCTTTAAACAAAATCTGACTTTCTAGGAATTGTTTTTAGACTGTAACTCAAAACGATTCCTACAAATCATTTAGTTTAAATGTTGTATGGAGTTTGGGGGTCACATGTGTGTGTTTTTCTGTATCATCATTGACCAAAAAAAAAAACCAAACAAAAAAACACATTGTATTAAGAGTTACATACATTCCATGAAATTGGGCTTTGATAATTCAAGTGGCATTCTATTGAGAAAATGTTCCCTGGGGAGACGTTGTGGAGGATATCCCTATCCTTTATTTGTTTGTCATATTTATTATCTATCTCCCTTCACTGAACTGTAAGCCCTACAAGAACAGAGATTGATTTCTGGTTGCTGATACGTCCCCAGTGCCTAGAAAGGACCTGACTCACAGGAGGTGTGCAGAGCATTTTGGATGAGTAAGTCAGCAACAGTCAGGCTGAAGGGAGATGGGTGGATTACTAAAATCCTCATCATCTACCGGGAGAAGCTCTGAAAAAAAGCACTGTAGCAGGAGGTAGGAGGTCCAAGTTTTGAGTCCTGGACTGGCCACCGAGTTACTCACTGAGTGACCTTGAGCCTCATTTTCCTCTCTAGGCACTGGATTCTCAACCCAGCCCCCAGCTCCTTCTTTGGCTCCCTGATTCTGTGGGAATAAGCCTATCTAGCTCTCTAATTGGAGGGTTGGGGAGGTGGGGGGTGGGGTGGGGGGAGGCACCCTCAGTCACTGCTGGGAAGAAACTGGGGCAGGCAACAAAAGTGAAAGAAAGCGGAGAATTTGGCTTAGAGAGCGAGCCCTGGCCTTGCCCTCTCTTGGGGCGGCTCCCTTCTTGTTCCATCACATTATACATTGTATTGTGGTGATGCTTAAACACAAAGGAACCATTGCGGAAGTACCTTACAGTTCCAGGAGGCCAATCTGCATTCCCTTTAAGGGCAATCCTGGTCTACAGAAAAACAGGCAGCTGGGCTTTCCAGCGAAGAGGTACAAAGCTGTGGTTTCCCCCTGAGGTATCACCTACCATGCAAGGCTGAGATGTCAGTAGGCGTGTCCCCAGCCACTATCCCTGTCAGAGGCCCCGCACAGTAAGTACAATAGAGATCACAGAGATCAACAAGTGCTGTGTGGCTTCCGGGCCTGGGGAAGAGCAGCGAGCAGAGCAGAGAGAAGGAGGCCTCACCCCATTCAAGCTAGAGAATGACACGAGGAGGCTCCTATCCCCTGCCCTCTATGGCCAGGCTCCTGACCAGCAGCCATCCTCCTGAAGCAGTCATGTTAAGAAAGTACTTACCAAGCATTGTGCTAACATTTTTATGTACATTATGGAACTTGATATCTCAAATAGCCTTACAAGGTAAGTCCCATTGTTGCAGGTGAAGAAATTCTGGCTTAGGGAATTTAAGTGACTTGCTGACAGGCACACAGCCGGGAGATGGCAGAGGTGGGGCTAAATCTACACAGTCTGACCCCAGGGCTCCAGTCCCTTACAACCACACAGCATCTAAACAAGTTCCGGTCTTGCTGTAAGGTGGTGCACACCTTCCACTCCTTTAAACACTGGGACCCACTCCCATCCCTCCTGAACTGTCTCAGCTCCCCAAGGCACTCGCTGATATTCAAATACGTTCTTCTGTCTTTCATCTTAAATGTGCCTCCACACCAAAGTCCTCTGGTTCTGGTAGGATCTCTTTCTCGCCATCATGACCAGAATTCTTTAAAAAGTTTGCAACACTGTTTTCTCTCCTCTTCCTCCCCTCTACTCCCTCCCTACACTGAGGGATCCAAATGGAGCCTCAGTTTGGAGGTGCACCCTGTGCCGTGGGAAAAGTGCCACATCTGGAAATGCTGAAAAATCCATCCATCCAGAAGCTGCACTGGAGGGAAGCCCGAGAGCCGGAGGAGTGAGCAGCTGCAGGAAGAGCTTGATGGCGAGCAGTTCCCAGGCTGCAGGATGCGCCCGTGGACAGCCTGGTCTGAGTGCACCAAACCGCATGGCGGCAGGATCCAGGAACGCTACATGACTGTCAAGAAGAGGTTCAAAAGCTCCCAGTTTAGCAGCTGCAAGGACAAGAAGGAGATCAGAGTGTGCATTGTGCACCCTTGTTATTAGCAAGGGTGTGAGTGGTTCAGGGCTGCACCCTAGATTTGCAGTCGCCAATGGCTGGAGTGTCTGTTTGCTTGTTGTTTAAGGCAATTTAAATTGTATTCACTAGTAAAAAAAAAAAAAAAGAAAGAAAGAAAGAAAGCTTCTGACCTCACCATGATCCCCAAATGCTTACTTAGTAGGCATTTTTTTTTTTTTCAATTATTTGACTTGATTTCTCAGCCCCTTTTACACGGTTAAGCATGACCCTGATCTTCAAACCTGCTCTTCCTTTGGGAACCGACCTCACTGCCACCCCTCCTGATTCTCCTCCTCCCAGCTCTCTAGCTGCCCATCCCAGCTGGCCTCAGGTGCCCCTGCCACCCTGCCCATCCCTTAAATGTTGAGGATCCTCAGGATTCTGTCCTGGGTTCTGCCTTCTCACTCTGGACACTCTCTGGTAGGGATTTCACTCATTCTCAGGCCGGTGATATTTATATACAAGCGATTCCCTAACCTTTACCTCCTGCTCTACTCTATATTCTGAGATTTAGCCCATAAACTCAGCCTGCCAGTGGTCCATCCCCACCACCAGGAGGAACAAATTCTCCCAGGACCCAGCCGTATTGATGTCTCCTGCCACGTTTCTCCCACCAAATTGTCCAGCCTTTCTGAACGATTGACTCTTCCTCCTCTGAGCTGCTTTACAGCTGTGCCCCCTCTTCTGGTGAACTCCTTAGCCCTCCTTTTCCCTGGCTCAGTTCCACTCACCCTTCAGATCTTCACATGGATATCACTTCCTCCAGGAAGTAGGGAGGTGTCAGGCCTGGGTGAGCGCTCATGACCCCGCACAGCTCCCTCATCAGAGCACCTGTTCCACTGTGCTGCCAGGGCCTATTTTCTCTATATCCTCCATAGACTAGAAAGTCTATTTAATCTACACTAACTACTGGAATTCTTGATCCATGCATTGTAGGCATTCAATAAATATGGTCAAGTAGATGAAGACTGAATGAATGGGAATGATAGCATCACTTAATCTGGTCTCAGGACCCTCTCAAGTCTGATGAACCTATAACTCCAGGAATTCATGGTGAGATGGGGTTGTGATCCAGGATTCCTGTTTCCTTGTGAGTCCTCTTTGTTCACTGCAGGCGATATTGTCTCCTAAGAACTGAAACTTAAGCCTGTCTTCTGACTCCCGTTCATGTCAACCACCTTGACCACCAATATGTTTACCACTGGCCTGATCCTACTGTTCTTCTTTCTCTGAGCACGCTATCCTACTGTGTTCTCTGGTTGTCGCTGTTGCCAGTCACCAATACCAGTCACCATCTTGTGCACGGGGTTGGGATGGCTTGATGCATCGAACGCTGTGGGTCTAGTAGGTTGCTGCCTGGCATACTTCAGTCCCAAACGGAGCCTTCCTCACTCTGGAACTCCTAGCATGCAATCTCTCTGGATCCACATAAGCAGCCTCGGACTGCATTTGTCTGTGTGTGCACGTGCCTGGTAAACCACAACTCTGGCCAAACCCAGCCTCTTCCAATCCAGTGCAACCTGCAGGGAATGTGGCAACAGTTCATCTGCTTCCTTCTGACCAAGGCTGTTCCTGGCTGGGGTTGCCCAAATCTGCCACATGTGTAGAAAAACACAAGCCTTTCCACTCACCACCCAGATGTTTCCAGATATTGTCGTGTTTATGGATAGAAAACATCTGGATGTCTGATTGACCCTGCAGAAACTTCTTGCCCAGATGCTTGTCATATAAAATTCTGACAGAGTGATCTTCTGCTCTCCTCAAATCTGCCATTTCTTTCCCTTCACTGCCATTCCAGAAGGCGCATTCCAGGTGCAATTGTCATTCTGGAGCAAGTGTGGCTGAGTAATGTCATCGGAGTTTTGTAAGGATCATCCCAAAGGATGGGTAGCAGGACTCGGCGCTTCACCAGGCAGCAGAGCACTTGGTATTGGCCAGCCCACAGGCTTCCTCAAGTCCCAGGCCAGCCGCCTGTCCCCTCACACCGCGGGTTCCCTAAAAGTTCCCAAATCCTGGGGCCTCTTACTGCTGTTCCCAGAGGAGCCAGAGCCTTTTTTGCTACTGAGAGAAAAGCTACTATAAACACAAAACACTGTTAGGATATGACCCTCTTATTTATTAACCAAAGCATTTTTCATGCATATCTGTGATTTGCAAGTCTTTTCATAATAGGGCTCCTTAGTTACGTTCAAAGGTGTCATCTCAAAATACCTCTCAAAATGGACTTCATTGATTAGTATCAAATTCGTTTACCCATTTATCAGTCAATTTATCAATAGACTGATTCCATAAATGTTTATTTTGCCTTTACTACGTGACAGGCTTTGGAGAATATGTAAGAATACCAAAAGAAAAAGACTTAACCAGTCCTCAAATTGCTTACCATCTGTACTAGTTCACGAGGGCTACCATAACAAAATACCAGAGTGGGTGGCTTACACAACAACAATTTATTTTCTCACAGTTCTGCAGGTTGGAAATCCAAGATCAAGGCATCTGCAAGTCTGACTTCTTTAGAAGCCTCTCTCCTTGGCTGACAGGTGGCCATCTTCTCCGTGTCCTCACCTGGTCTTCCTCTGTGAGCACAGATCCTTTTTACAAAGACACCAGTCAGATTGGATTAGGGTCCCACCCTAACTGCTTTGTTTTAATGTAATCACTGCTTTGAGGAGCTTATCTCCCAATATGGTTTCATTCTGAAGTACTGGGGGTTGGGACTTCAACATATGACTCTGGTGAGAGGGGGATGGGGGGACAAAATTCAGCCCCTAACACCATTTATTTGGAGAAGTGGAGAAATTAAAACGTGATTACAATAAAGGGTACTAAGGACTATGGTAGAGAAGATACGAGGTGATTCTGAAGCATCAAATAGGACAGCTAGCCCAGTGAGGGTAAGGGTGGGGAGCAGTCAAGGAAGGCTTCCAAGAGAAGGAGATGCTCCCACACTGAACAAAAAGGTGGCACATACAGAGACCTGGAATGAGAGTACAGCTTATTGAAGTAATTCCATGTGACCAAATCATACAGCACAAGAGTGGAAGCAAGAAGAGAGACATGAGAAGATAGCAGGGCCTGGAGAAGAGCCCCCTTAAGGAGACTGGGCTCAGTTCCATCGCAATGGTGTGTCAGAGAAATGCATGGTGGGGAAGGGTAGGAGTGCTTACAGAACCAGATGTGCGCTTTATAATAGATCATGGCATTCATTGTTGGGGACAGATCAGAGCTCCTGCCAGACTACAGGCTAAGCGAGCAGGTAGGAGGCTGACAAAATTAGCCATGTAAAAGGTGATGAGGACCTAATGTAACCCATTCGTGGGATAGACAGAGAGGATGGTGTGGATTAGCACTGAAACTGAAGCCACAGGGAAAAAGAAGTTCCTTCCAGGAAAATATGCAGAGTAAGTAGACTAAAGGCCAAGGAGGAAACTGTAGGGTCATTAGTTGGCATTTAAAGAAGACCTAACAAACAGGGATGCCAAGCAGGCTGGCAGCAACTCAAACTATAAACACAAAAGGAGAATGTGTGCAATTATAGCACACAAGTCCATCTAAACAGGGCAGCCATAGCCTAGCTCCAGCAGAGGCTACCACAGGGGCATGCTGCCCAGGCCTGCCCCATCTTCGGATTCTTCAAGAAAAGTGATACCCTTGGGGCGCCTGGGTGGCTCAGTTGGTTAAGCGACTGCCTTAGGCTCAGGTCATGATCCTGGAGTCCCTGGATCGAGTCCCGCATCGGGCTCCCTGCTCAGCAAGGAGCCTGCTTCTCCCTCTAACCCTCCCCCCTCTCATGTACTCTCTCTCTCTCTCATTCTCGCTCTCTCAAATAAATAAATAAATCTTTAAAAAAAAAAAAAAAAGTGATACCCGTAGCCCCTCAGGTGAGATGATCCAGCTTTTAAACAGTAAAAAGCAATTAGAAAACCCTAAGCCGGTCAAGCAACATGAACATGTGGGCTGTATCTGACATGCAAGTTTGAATTCAGGGGACTAGAAACCACCAAGGAGACAGGGAAGTGGGACAGGCGAGGGAAGGCAGTGTTGTGGCGGATTGCGTTGTCACCCTGCCCTGCCTGGGAGGGACTCCACATGACGCCTCACTGACATCAGGCTGGGCCATGTCGCCTGCTTTGGACAATGGAATGTGAGCACCCCTAGGGGACCTGTGTCACTCACTTGCTGGTGGAAAGCTTTACGAGCTGGTATGTGCTTCTCTGTGATCTCTTTTTTTCCCTCTGATAGAAGAGGGACCACATTCCACAGAGTGCCCAGAATGATGAGGACACAGAGCAGATCTGCGGCTGGCCTAGAACATAGAGCACAAGTGAGAAATAAATCTCTGCCACTGCAAGTACTGAGATTTGGGGATCACTCACTGGCCTATCCTGACTGATGCAGCCACAGGAGCCGAAGGAAAATGGGTTCTCTGAAGCAAGTAACAATGCGTGTTGTCAAATGCTACAGAACCAGTTCAGGGAAAATCTGTAATCCCACGCAGACACAGCAGAACAGGATCCCTGAGCAGCAAAAGGGAGATGGGTTTCGAGGGCGGGGCCTGGTCTAAGACATGAGGAGGGGCACTTCCTGTTCCTCCAAGGGACTTATGGAAAGGAAGACAGCATAGGTGTGGGTACAAGGACAATTTCAGGAGGCAGGTGGGCAGGACGTTGAGGTGGCCTGGAGTGCATACAATAAAATCAACATAAAATTCAGAACTCTATGCTATGATAATTAAAAGGAGGGAGGCATCACTTTTGCCTGGAGCAATAAAGGTAGATGTGAAAGAAAAGAGAGAATCTGAACCAGACTTGAAGGACAGATACACATTTGTTAAGATACACTAGCTACCCTAAGACAGAAATCCCCCAATGTGGTAAGCTTGACCCAACAGTAATTTTTTCTAATGCATGAAAAGTTCAAAATCATGGGGGAGAGACTCTGCCACTCAATCTTTCATGGACAAGACAGATGACGGCTCTGCCACCTTCCACATTTGACTTGCATAACAGAGCTGTTCTGATATTTACATACAGTTTGCAGGCAGACAAGACACTAGGGGGAAAGTAAATTGGCATGTTTATATAAGCAAGGCCTGGAAGTGGTACAACTCAGTTACACCCTCCCCTAACTGCAAGGGAGGCTGGGAAATGTCATTTGGCTGTTAAATGAATAGATAGCCAGGGTCTACCCAGTGGGCAGGAATTGGCTTGCCAGAAATAGAGTGAAGGAAAGCACTAGGCAGAAAAAAATGCCATAGGGGTACCTGGGTGGCTCAGTCAGTTAAGCATCCGACTCCTGATTTCAGCTCAGGCCATGATCTCAGGGTCATGGGATGGAGCCCTACATCAGGCTCCATGCTCAGCAGGGAGTCTGCTTGAGATTCTCCCTCTCCCCCTCCCCCTGCTCATGTGCTGTCTCTCTCTCTCTCTCTCTAATAAATAAATCTTAAAAAAAAGGAAAGGAAAAAATGGCATAAGCAGCGTTTAGCAGTTACATAACTTCTACAATCCTATGACATGAGAATAATAATACCTATTACCAGGATCACTATATGAATGAAATGAGATGACACACATCAAGTGTGTAACATAGAATGGTGTTAATACATGTATGTTCCCCACACATACTCCACTTCCCCCACGTAGACTCAGATCCTGGCCTTGCCTCTGATGAGCAGAGCACCGTAATCCAACTGTGAAAGCTTACCTGACCTCAGGTAGTGTGCACCCTCATGTGCAGATACTGCACCTCCGGTGTTTCCTGCTCTCTGCACCTTGCATTCTAGCATGGTCCCACCGACAATGACTGGCCCCCTTGAAACTTCACCTATACTGACTGGCTGCTTTGCCTTGGAGACACACTACTGCCTTCAAGGGCTATTAAGCACCGAGTACGAAGAAGAGATATCATGCTTCCAGGGGCCTCTACAGAGGGGGCAGCAGAAGAAAGTCCACTTGTTTGACCTGCCCATGCTGCCTCCAACCTTGACTTTTCCAAAGATGGCAGAGTCCTTCCAGTCAACAACTCTTCTGGCTCTTCTTATTCTGAGGTCTGCTGCGAAGGTTTTCTCCCATGTTTTCTTCTAGGTATCTAGAGTTTTAGTCTTTACATTTAGATCTGTGATCTATTTTAAGTTAATTTTGTATAATGTTCACTAGGTTCTCATAAATGCTTTCTATTAGACAGAGGAAGTTCCATTCTACTCCTTGTGTCCTGAGAGTTTTCTTCAACTATAGATGTGAGACTGTATCCAGTGCTTTTTTTCTACGTCTATTGAGATGATGCTATGTTTTTTTCCTTTTTAGTTTGTTAATATGGTGAATTAAATGGATTGATTTGGGGATGTTAAGGCAGCATTCTTGGGATAAATTCCGCATGGCCATGATGTACATTTTTTACACCTTGTCGGATTAGATTTGCTAAAATTTGCTTTAAAATTTTTTCATCTATATTTATGAATGATATTGGTCTACAGACTTCTTTTCTTGTAATGTCTTTTCTGGTTTGGTATTTGGGTAGTGCTGGTCTCTTTGAATGAGTTGGTATGCATCTCTTTCACTTCCATGTTCTAGAAGAGTTTGTATTTTTGGTATTGTTGGTATAACTGCTTTTTTTAATGTTTGGAAGACTTCCGCAACAAAATGATCTAAATCTGGAGTTTTCTTTATGGAACGATTTTAAAACTACAAATTCAGTATTTTTAATAGGTATATGGCTATTCAGGCTATCTATTTCTTCTTAAGTGAGTTTTGGTAGCTTTTGCCTTCCAAAAAGTTTCCCCATTCCAATTAAGTTGTCAAACTTATTGGCATAAAGTTGTTCATAGTATTCTGTTATTAACCTTTTAATATCTATAGAATCTCTAGAAATGCCACCTTTCTCATTCTTGATATTGGTAATTTGTGTCCTCTTTTTATCCTGATCAGCCTAACTATAGTTTTATTCATTTTATTGATTATCTAAAAGAACCAGCTTTCGGTTTCATTGTTTTTCTCTTTTTCTTTTCTTTTCTTCTTTTTCTATTTCTTTGATTTCCATTCTGATCATTATTATTTTCCTTCTTTTGCTTATGTTGGATTTAATTTTTTGTCATGCATTTAAATTTTATAGATGTAATAAACACATGATTATCATTTCTGCTCAAACAGCAAATTATCTTTTTAAAGAGATTTTAATACGAAAAAAAATCTTATTTGCTGTTATAAATTTCTGGGGTTCTTCATTTCTACGTATAGCCAGACTTCCATCTGATATTATTTACCTCTGCCGGAAGAATTTCTTTTAAAATTCCTTATAATGTGGGTGTGGTGGTAATGAGTTGCTTCAACACCTGAATGTTTGTAAAGTTATTTTGCCTTTTTTTTTTTAAAGATTTTATTTATTTATTTGCCAGAGAGAGAGAGAGAGAGAGGGAAAGTACAAGCCAGGAGAGTGGCAGGCAGAGGGAGAAGCAGGCTGCCCGCTGAGCAAGGAGCCCGATGTGGGACTCGATCCCAGGACCCTGAAATCATGACCCGAGCCGAAGGCAGATGCTTAACCATCTGAGCCACCCAGGTGCCCCTTGCCTTCATTTTTTAAAAGATATTTTTGC